GGGAAAGAGGGGAAGGGAAGGCACTACAACCCTTTTTATTTAAATTCTTTTTATTCAAAACCTTCCCCTCCCTTGCATTTCCTCCATAGTCCTCTATACATGCCATATGAAGGTTAGTAAATGGTGTTCACCAAAGTCCAATAACTAGACAGCCACTTAAAATCTCCTATTTTTTCTACAAAACTTATTTTCTTCCATAAAGTTCACTCATTACTCATTAGAATCATAAATATTTTTTTCTTCATCTTCCTCCCTCCATGTCTTTCTATTTTGATTTTGTCTAATTCTAATTTAAAGTTCATATTGACTGATAAAATTTCTTTCAACATAAATAGCTAAAACTCAGTTTTCACTTTTCAGTTTTCCAAATTCCAATCAAGAGTCAATGAAACATCAAATATCATTGATAGACTTCATTAAATTCACTTTTTTTCCAGGCTGACAACCAGGAAGAAATTCCTCCTTCAGCAGTCATGATACATGTAACTTATACAACTCACCTGTCAGTATTTAAAGTTCTGAAAAGCACACGTCGTACACCTCTAGGGATATTCAAGGACTTCATAACCTCAGCTAAAAAAAGAGAAATCCGGTCATGTTTCAATTAAACATAACCAACGATAACAAGGTCAGGCTTGCATTTACATAACAGATATTCAAAACAAAACAACTCAGAAAACAGTATAAATATAAAATAATAGGAAAGCAAAGCATCCACTAAACTTCAAGCTTGAGACCAGCACCGGTAAGACAAATACAATTTTCTAACCTATTTCCAAAAAAAATAAAAAAAAATCAAGCAATATCATGAGTCACACATACCAGTAATGTTTGTGTCGCGTGGAACATCAACCAAAAGTGCAAGGCCTATGAACAGAACAAGTAGCGCATCAGTTGTCAACATCTAAAATAATTGGCAATCATAAAATATTACCAAATAAAATAATAATTTAATAAATTAATTAGGATCTCTGGCAATGATAAAAGTTGCAGAGAGTGTTGTTAGTTGTTACCATTGAGAAGCGTTATGTCGAGTGAGTCAACGTCGAAGCCAGCGTCGTAGTAATTATCGAAAAAGTGACCCGGCGCGTCGACGTGCGTGCCGGTGTGAACACCGAGCTTCATGGCGGAGTTGTTAGCGCGCGAGCCATTCTTCATGCCCTTTTCGAGCCACAGGAAGTGTTCACCGAGCCCCTCAGTGGAGTCCCACACCGGCAACTCCGGGGAGTACCTGTGGCTGATGTCGAAGATTCGCCCCCCATCGTACACCTCTCGCCGCGGAGGAACCAGAACCCCGTCGACGGTGTCGCCACGGAGGGAGCACTCACCGGTGTCCGCGCCGGGGATGGAAGGATACGCGGCGGAGGTAGCGGCGACGGCGATGGAGTGCGCCGAAATGGCGCAGAGAAAGGCAAAGAGTGATAGATTGTTCATAGTTCAGTGAGTTGAAATTGAATGGATGAATCATCTTGTTATCTATGTATCTCCCCTTCTGTTTACCAAACCCATGTCTGACAAATTTTTATTATTTTTTTAATTTTTACAACGACCATGGCAAAGGTTGAATGGTACGAGATAGGTGAATATAAACTTATTTATTTATTTATTATTATTATCCTTGTCTTTTCTTTTTTTAAGGGAGCCCTTATTTTGTTCTTCTCCTTAGTTTCTTGCGTAAAAAACTAAAAATGTTAATCCAAGATTACGTGTTATTGCGGGTTTTTTTATTTTTAAAATAAAATAATAAAAATATATTAGACTAAATAGAAATGGTGGGATTAGCAATTTAGCATAGTGATTTGGAAGGTAAAAGCACGAAGATATACGCTTAATCTCTATTATCATCATCTGTATAATTTTTTCTAATTTTATTAAGAAAACATTAAGTTAAAATAGAGTTTAAATGAATTTTAGGTAATTTTAAAATATTTTTTCTTTTATTTCTAAACTAAAAATTGGTAAACATATATATTTAAAAATACTTTTTTTTCTATATTTGAATGACTTTTTTTATATAAAATGTAACGTGCATTGGTAAAAAAAAAGTTTGCATTGGTAACAAAATTGTTACGTGCATTTATTTAAAGAGGTTAAAAGACTAAAAATATAAAATAAAAATCTAAATAAAAATAAATGGATTTATTTTTATAAAAAATTTGAAAGATAAAATAGTCTCATGAAAAAATAGAAATAAAAGTAGTTGAGAAACAAATATTTCTTTTATTCATTGTTAATTGTTATAGATTAATATCATTAAAAAAGAAATCTTAGCAAAAACTCCTTTATAATTGATTGGAGATTAAAAAAAATTCATTAAATGAAATAATGACTCAAAATATGTATTTTGTGAATTATAATAAGTCAATAGTAATATAGTGTTAAAAAAAAAGTGTTTAAAAGAATATTATTAACATTTTTCATTCTCATATTCTCTACTATTGTCACTATTATACTACTTTATTATTACCATTACTATATAATCATATAAATTAAAAGGAAACTAAAATTAACTTTTAAAATTATAAATTAATTAAATTTTTTAAAAATAAATTATATTTACTTTATTTAAAGACTTTAACTATTTTTGGTAGTTTATGCATCGTGACTTATTAAATTTATCTTAATCTTAAATATTGTTAATAAAAAAGATAATTATAAAAGACTTTTTATATATATAAAAAAAAACATAAAACTAAACATCCAAAATAACACCCTCATGTTATATCCTATTAAAACATGTTTTGTAAGAAGCATAAATATATTCTAATTCAACACCATCAACAAACATTAACATAATATGCAAATGACCATTAGTCAAAACACAGATAACATAAGTAATTAGTGAAATAAATTATTATGATAAACACACATGTAATTAAAAATGACAACATAATAATAGAAATTAGATAATAGAAAATAAAATACAAAGAATAGGAGAAACTAAATGATGATGACAAATATTGTTACAATAACTTTTATGTTTGAATTATTAAAATTGAAAATGACTTAAATGAAAACTTACCTTTATCCATCCATTATTATTGGAGAAAGAAACAATTTGAGTTATTTGATTTTTCAAATCTATATGCACAATTCCCTTTAATTATCTCCAATAATAAAATGTTAGAAGGAAAAAAATTATGCATATAACTCACGATCTATAACTTTTTTATATTAGTCAGGTATCACTTCACAAATACATATATTTAAAATCTTATGGTCATTTATGAAAAAGTCACAACGATTATTTATGTATTTTATTTATATTTTGGCCATCAAAATAATATAAATAAGACTTTTTATACCTACACATTGTACATAAACCATTCTATACAAGTTATTGTCAATCCCAATAAATTTGTGTGTGTAAAGAAATTTTCTTAAAAGGATCAACATATTATAATTAACTGTGTTAAAGTTATGTTATGATATTTGTTGATAAAATATAATTTTTATAAAAAAGAAATATTATACAATTATATATCAATATTTTTTATACAACTTTATATTGATATAATATTCTATTTAAGTTTAAACTTTCATAATTTTTTTATATAAAATCTTATTTCTTCTTTTATTATACGATGGGAAATTTTATTTGTATTCTCAATTGATAGCCTAAAATATATCTAAACTCACAGTTACATTAACAAAGAACGAAATAAATTTTCAATTGAAGTAAAACTTTTCTCAAGTTTCTAAATTATCAAATAGAAAATTGATTAGAGGAAGGATATTTCATAATCATGAAAAATAATTGAGGATATTTATAAACAATTTTTTTTTTGCGATTTAACATAAAACATGGAATACATAATTAAATCAGAAAAAAAAAAAGTGATGGAAGACATCAGTAAGCCATAGTCCAAAGTTCTTCCTATCGACTTGAACAATACTTATTTAATTCCTACTTTGAGTATATATCTGAATTTTGTTCATTATTGTTACCGCAATAAGGTGTAATTGTCTTCAAACGTGTTCCAGATAAGTAAGTTAATTACGAAGATATTAGCTAAAAAAAATCTGTCCATATATTTGTTTATGATGGAATTCGTTTTATGGGTTCTTTTTAGTCGGACTAGCACAGTTAATGTTTCAATTCAGGTGCTTTATGTCTTGTGATTTTATGAAAGACAATTTACAGTTTTAATGATTACTTGTCTCTAGATATTCGTCAAGTATTATCAAGCAATAATGTTCATACATGTAAATACTTAAACGTACAGAATGAACAATACGAACATCAGCAATGCAAATCATGATTCATTTCAGATAATGTTCAAGCATTACAAGGTTTACAGTCTATAAATGCGGAATTATAAGGAGAAAATAGAAAAAGGAAAAGATTACACTAACTCTAACTCTATTCCTAAAAAGAGAAAAGGAAAGTGGCCAAGAAGTGGTCATACCCAAAGATGATTCCTCGCATGGAAGCCATGTGTGCAGGCAGAGAATGCTTCAGAATGTGTTTCAAGTATGAGTTTTCCGACCTCTGTAAAGGTCCGTAATCCTTGTATTTATAGAGCAATCAAGAGCGGTTAATTCTGTGCATGTCCGCCTCTAACTCATAACCGCTATCCACTATATTTGCTACGTGGTCTTGAATTATAACTTCCTTTAACCGCTCTTCCCACGTTCCTTGTTTCTTCGATTGATTTTTTGGTAACCGTTTTGGCTTAACCTCCATGTTCTGAGAGAGTCTCAACTTTTCAACTATTCTCGAGCAACACTTGCTTTTTCGAGTCCCATAATTTCGAGTGCTCCCACGTCCCACGTGAAATTAGTCACAAGTACTCAGCATGTGTTGATTTTACTTCTCGGGCAGCGCTATCAATCTTTTCGAGCCACATGATTTTCGAGTACACCTAACAATATTAAAGGAATAAAATGCATGCAGCTTGAAAATGAAATCGCCGAGGATTTTAATCCTTTTTGATAAATAATGTATGCAGAAATCTATTAGTTTCTGTACCTCTGGGCACACTCGTAATTTTCTGGTAGTTTGAAGATCGAACGAGAGTTTTGAATAGATGCGTCAAAAGGAGAAAGTACTTGCAAAAGACACTCCGACACTCAAGTCAAGATAAGCACGAATCTCGATAGTAATAAATAAATAGTAACATATCTTATTTTACGTGACCTATTTACTAGTTATGATGGACCCTGAACGTGGTAGGTCTCCTCTGACATTTACCAAATTAGATAATACGATGTTAAACGGCTGATTACGCCTTAATCATGTGTTTGTCTTTGTTAACCATGATTGTCGTCCTAATTACTATATTTAGTAGTCTCGGCCGTTGGCCGAACCGAGAAGTGTAGGATTGAAGCTGTTTTTTCAGGTATCGACCTCCAACCAAGCCAAAACGTTATCAAATCGTCTAGTTAAGTTATTAACATGGCCAAGTCTTCGATGTCTTGGACACAAGGTGTCTCATAGAAGCTTTTGTATTTGGCCGTCTCGATAATATTTGGCCGTCTCGATAATCGAGATGACCAAGACCACTACATGGAGAATATCTTTTATCTCCACCGTCTCGGTGGCCAAGAGGGCATCACGTGTCATTTCACGTAGTGGATGTAATCTTCCCCGTATTGTTTCATTTGCTATTCTCATTTCTAATGCTACCGTATTTTGACGTCAAATGGCTAATTTAACAACTATTTAAGAAAAACTTTAATTTGACATGCGTTTAAACTTGCAGTAAATAGATTAACTTCATATATATATATATATATATATTCGATTCTGCATCCATCAAAATTTATGTTACATTAATGGATGATATTAGCCAATCATGTTCCATTTCCCTCCCCGACTGAGAATTTCGAGCAAGGTTGTACAAAGAAATAGTAAACAAACTCCACTCCACAATCACATTGAGGTTCTCATCTCACTTACATTAGTAGGTAGTTAGTGGATTGTGCAGTGGAGCTTTATTCAGAAGCACCTATCATTTCCAGCCATTTGGTCAACCTAATTGTCCCCATTGTTTGGTGTTAACTCTCACCCCTGACCCTGGGAGAGAACCCACTTTTCTCCTTCCCTCCTTCCATTTTTCCATCTGCAGCAGCATCTGTGGGCTCTCCTTTTTTAATTTTATTACTAAAAAATATGGGACATTGTACCTGAAACATACATGGCCCTTCCTCCCTAAAATATCACCAACCACTCAACATAAACTCACTCTTGAAAAGATTAGCAAAGCAACTCATTGCAACACAAGACAAGACCAACTCCAACTCCAACACCAATATGCAAAACCTCAATTCCCTTTGCTTAACCATAATTTCCCTCTTTCTCATCTACACAAACAATAAGATCCTAGTAGTGCAAGGCGTGACCTCAGCCTCAGACATCGCAGCACTGAAAGCCTTCAAGGCTTCAATCAAAGGCTCCTCCATCAGCCCGTGGTCATGCCTGGCCTCGTGGAACTTCAGCAGCGACCCATGCTCCCTCCCTCGGCGCACCCACTTCATCTGCGCCCTCACCTGCACCCCAGACTCCACCAGAATCAACCAAATCACCCTCGACCCAGCAGGCTACTCCGGCACACTCACCCCATCAATCTCCCAACTCACACAACTCATCACACTCGACCTCGCCGACAACAACTTGTTCGGCCCAATCCCCTCTTCACTCTCCTCCCTCTCCAATCTCCAATCCTTAACCCTCCGATCCAACTCCTTCTCAGGCCCAATCCCTCCCTCCATCACCACCCTCAAATCTCTCCAATCCCTCGACCTCTCTCGCAATTCCCTATCCGGCTACCTCCCTAACTCCATGAACTCCCTCGCCACCCTCCGCAGGCTCGATCTCAGCTTCAACAAACTCACCGGTTCCATCCCCAAACTCCCACCCAACTTGCTGGAACTGGCGATCAAGGCCAATTCTCTATCTGGGCCTCTCCAAAAACAAAGCTTTGAGGGGATGGAGCAATTAGAAGTGGTGGAGCTCAGCCAGAACGCGCTCTCCGGCATGGTGGAGTCGTGGGTGTTCCTACTGCCGTCGCTGCAGCAAGTGGACTTGGCCAACAACACGTTCACGGGGGTGCAGATCTCGAGGGTTGCGCGTGGGGGGAGCACCAGCAGCAACCTCGTGGCGCTCGACCTCGGGTTTAACAGAATCCAAGGCTACGCGCCCGCGAATCTCGCCGCGTTTCCCGCGCTCTCGTTCCTCTCGATTCGCCACAACAATCTACGTGGCGCCATCCCGTTGGAGTACGGCCAGATCAGGTCCATCAAGAGGCTCTTCCTCGACGGGAACTTCCTCGTCGGGAAGCCGCCGCCGGGGTTGGTGGCCGCCGGCACGGCGGTTTCCGGGAGCTTGGGGGATAATTGTCTGCAGGTGTGTCCAGGGTCGTCCCAGCTGTGCTCGCCCGCACAGAAACCCAGCTCTGTTTGCAAACAGGCCTACCGTGGTAGACCAATGCCGTAGTTTGTTTTGTCGGTTGAAAAAAAAAAAAAAAAAAGAGTTAAATTATAAATAGATAGATTTATAATTTTGTATTTTTAAAGGAATAAAGATGGATGTATACAGTGCGAAGATGAATGGTAGTCTTTATATTTGTTCCTGGGATAATGAAGTTGATATTTAGATTTTTTAAATGATTTAAATTACAGCTATCCCCCACAATGAATCGGATTACATACATGTGTGTGCATAGTACTATTTTATTGTATTGATTTACTAAGACGACCACTTTTAAGGCTTTAGATATGAAGTGTCTCCTGGGTCCGGCTACCGTCCACGATAAGAGGTCTGTATCTGTTTTCGAGTGGAACAAAGTCCCCACTTCCCACCAACTCTGGCCTTCCACAACGTGCCTCTATCTTCCACGTGTAATAAATAATGATATTGGATTTTTTTTTATGTTATTCTCTTTTTTTTTACAAGACTTCATTATTTTTTTCTAATTTATTAAAGCTAAAATATTTACTGATAGTTTTTTATTTCTAAAAATTTATACTATTTATGTTCCTATATAAAAATAAATACCTAATTCATCACACTAATAAAAAAATCAAATTAGTTACTAGTAATTTTTAGTTAATATGATTTTTTATCCTTCAAAATTTGCCAACGATTTGGGGTGGATACCCAACTTGCATATAATTTGCGAACTCTATGCACTTCTCAGTTCTCATATCCACTTGAGTGCATGAAGGAAGGATCATAAATTTAGCAAATGTTCATCCAAACCGCGCTTACAAAAATAAAATTATTTCTCTCTAACTCCGCACGATGTGGAACATAATTTATATGCAACTATTACAGAAACGCTCTACTTAGTTGGGTCCTTGAGTATTTGGCAAACAACATTCTGTTGTGGCCAAACCTTTGTCATGCATTCCCAATTTCTATTTGAACAGATTATACACAAGATGAAGTATGACCTGTGCAAGTCACCTTGCATTGCATCTTCCCATTGTATTTCCTGAGATATAAATAAGTTTCACATTAATAAAATAAGAGAAAAAATAATTTATAAAATACACATACTCTTTTAAGTAATGATAAAAATAAAATTATAAGAATTTATGTTCAAAACGGACAATATCTCATCATCATTGTGTGTGTAATATTTTTTTTTTTAAAAAATTCATTTGACCACATTTAGTATATAGTCTTTCCTTATAATTATTTATTTTTATATGAGAATTTATTTTTATATGAGATTTGTACTTGAGATATTGTTTAAAAAATCAAGTCTAATTTTATTACCAATACCTTATTATATCGTGATGATATATTCCAAACAATTACGAATATTTGAAGATTTCATTATTATCTCTTAAAAAGAGTTTCTATATGATAAAATCCTCAGAATAATTTTTAATGCCCTACAACATGCGGTTGTTTCGCAATTATAATTATGTAATACTAATCCAACCACTTAGTGTTATTATTAATTTTATTTTCGTTGGTTCCAAGATTTAAATATTTGGTTGATAAGCTGAATAGTCATGAACTAAGTGGATGAAACAATGTTAGGACTTAGGAGATGTGCAAACAGATACAGTCAGTGTGGGGAATGCAAGAGTTATTTTTTATACCTGTATATAGTAATATTAAAAACTATATGGGTTTCAACTAAACAATAATCATAAAGCCAAAGATATGATTTTGAAGTGTTCCGTGAAGACAAGACACTGATTAATGATTGGTTTTGAATAACAAGGGGATTGTGAACAAAACTGATACAAGTCATACTTTGCCGAATTATTTTTATGGTGCTAAATATTATATTCCATTCTCATATTATAAATTTATAACTCTAAATGAATATATTTTAATAATTATTATTCCTTTTATTAAATCATCTCATTTTATATGTTAAACATATTATTTAAATTTAATTAATTTCAATTTATATTATATTTAAAAATTTGATTCCTAAATCCATTTATGAGAGAGAGAGGAGGGCAAAGATGACATGATTATGGAATGAGAGAGTGGAAGACAAGTGATGATGTGAATATGTGATGACGTTAATCAACATTTTTTTAGTCATTAGGTGATAAAGAGATGACTTTTTCTTTAAGATAAGCAAGATATCTAGGCTAAGTTTATCACTTGTTCAAGTGATTTATCGTGAGTTATGATTTTTATCCTTTAGATTAATTTAAAATTTATATTGATATAGTACACTTTTTTTGTATGGTCTTAATTTGATTTCTTTTTTTCTTTCGTCAGTGGTCACCAGCGCCACGTACCTTCAACACTACCAGAGACGATTTCTAGCGATTGTGTCACTTTTTCTTCCTTTTTCATTTCTTCCTTTTAATTTTTTATTTTTGTTTTTCACTTTTTTTTTCATTTAACAATTTCTTGAAGAAAAATGCAATCTATGACTTTGCGAAAGAGGGTGCAGATTTGTTGCACCAAATTTTTTTCTCTTTTTTCCACTTCTTTGTCCTCTTCTTCTTTTTGTGTAGATTTTTATTTGCATATATTGTTTTTGTAACTTCTACGTTGTGGATGATTTATGCTCTATAGTGAGAAATTCAAATTCTTGTGCCTTCTTTGATTTGCGAAAGATATGTAGTTACTCTATATTGTCTTGTGGTAAATCTAAACATGTGTTCCTCCAAAGAGGAAAAGAAATATAAAAAATGGCATCACTATTGAAAATCGTCTATGACAGTAGTAGTACATGGTGGTCGCCGGAGCTCTGTGACGGTATGTTGTGATGGATGACTGGAAAGAGAATAAGATAAAATAATGAAAAATTCTAAATGTTTCGAAACATCTTACGAAACATATTTCGAAGTGTTAAAAAAATAATTTAATCTATAAAATATTAAATTAAATAATTATTTTATAATAAATTTATTAAAATATGAATATTTTATAAATTCAAACGTTGATTCAATTTTTTTTTGGTTAATGTAGCAATTCTCAAAAATAATAAGGTGTAGAAGATGTGTCATAAAAGTATGAATGATAGATTAACCTAAGGTACAATAATTTTTATGCACAATGGACCACCAGTAAACTAAGGTATACCATTGTCAAATTTGTGAGAAAAGGCATCTATAATAATTTATTCTATTCAAAGATGATTATCTTTGTGCTTTGTCTGAATGAGGGGAGAAATTGAAGAGAATGAAAAATAATAGGTGAGAATTGGAATTTGTAGTTATTTGATAGAGTAGAATTATGTAAAAAATATAGAAAAATTAATATTTTAAAATTATATTTTTATTGTATCAAGCCATTATTTAGTTGAACGAGAAAAAAAAAACTAATAAATTATGTTTTTGTCTTCTTTTTTTTTTTTTTTGAAATTTCAAGCAAATTAGCCTTCTTCTGTTTTAACTTATTCTAAATTATAGTTTCCAAACACAATATTAGTAATTGTCTCTAAATATAAAAAAAAAAAAAAAAAATTACAACATTTGTTGGTCACCAAATAAAATCCTTGAATGATAGTAAAAATTAAAGTTAAACAAATTTATCAAATAAAAGATTAATTAATCTATATATATTAAATACAAATATTTATCTTATTGATTTCTTTTTTTCTTTCGTCAGTGGTCACCAGCGCCACGTACCTTCAACACTACCAGAGACGATTTCTAGCGATTGTGTCACTTTTTCTTCCTTTTTCATTTCTTCCTTTTAATTTTTTATTTTTGTTTTTCACTTTTTTTTTCATTTAACAATTTCTTGAAGAAAAATGCAATCTATGACTTTGCGAAAGAGGGTGCAGATTTGTTGCACCAAATTTTTTTCTCTTTTTTCCACTTCTTTGTCCTCTTCTTCTTTTTGTGTAGATTTTTATTTGCATATATTGTTTTTGTAACTTCTACGTTGTGGATGATTTATGCTCTATAGTGAGAAATTCAAATTCTTGTGCCTTCTTTGATTTGCGAAAGATATGTAGTTACTCTATATTGTCTTGTGGTAAATCTAAACATGTGTTCCTCCAAAGAGGAAAAGAAATATAAAAAATGGCATCACTATTGAAAATCGTCTATGACAGTAGTAGTACATGGTGGTCGCCGGAGCTCTGTGACGGTATGTTGTGATGGATGACTGGAAAGAGAATAAGATAAAATAATGAAAAATTCTAAATGTTTCGAAACATCTTACGAAACATATTTCGAAGTGTTAAAAAAATAATTTAATCTATAAAATATTAAATTAAATAATTATTTTATAATAAATTTATTAAAATATGAATATTTTATAAATTCAAACGTTGATTCAATTTTTTTTTGGTTAATGTAGCAATTCTCAAAAATAATAAGGTGTAGAAGATGTGTCATAAAAGTATGAATGATAGATTAACCTAAGGTACAATAATTTTTATGCACAATGGACCACCAGTAAACTAAGGTATACCATTGTCAAATTTGTGAGAAAAGGCATCTATAATAATTTATTCTATTCAAAGATGATTATCTTTGTGCTTTGTCTGAATGAGGGGAGAAATTGAAGAGAATGAAAAATAATAGGTGAGAATTGGAATTTGTAGTTATTTGATAGAGTAGAATTATGTAAAAAATATAGAAAAATTAATATTTTAAAATTATATTTTTATTGTATCAAGCCATTATTTAGTTGAACGAGAAAAAAAAAACTAATAAATTATGTTTTTGTCTTCTTTTTTTTTTTTTTTGAAATTTCAAGCAAATTAGCCTTCTTCTGTTTTAACTTATTCTAAATTATAGTTTCCAAACACAATATTAGTAATTGTCTCTAAATATAAAAAAAAAAAAAAAAAAATTACAACATTTGTTGGTCACCAAATAAAATCCTTGAATGATAGTAAAAATTAAAGTTAAACAAATTTATCAAATAAAAGATTAATTAATCTATATATATTAAATACAAATATTTATCTTAAAAATATTTTAATAGATTTTTCTTTGATGAGAGATTATTAAGAAATTTTTTTTAATTACTTATATAAATTGAATTTTTATTTATCATGGTTATTTATAAATTAAATTTTAAATTTTAAAATAAGTTATCAATAAAGTAATGATCATGCTTTTTTTATATATTTTATTTTTAATTAAGTTAGAACCTTTAATTAATTAAGTAGTGTAGGGGTTGATCCACGCTTAAGCAAGGTCAGGGGTTCGAATCTTGCCTTGTGTATGCAGCCGCGTTAAATCTTGGGGCCAGCTATCCCACTCTTTGAGGTGCCTCCAACGTAGCGAGGAGATTAGTCACTGCTATCGACGGTGGATACTCCAGGAACTAACCAAAAAAAAAATTAAGTAGTGTAATTAATTTCATTTTCAATTAAGTCAATTTTGTATTAAGAAAAAAAATCTCAAAACTTAAAGTATTCAATTTAAATTATATGTATTTTATTGTAACCAGCACCTTAAATTGTTCAATATACAAAAATAAATTATATTTTATATAACTAAAATCTATAATAAATAAATATTTTCAAACTTATTAATTATATTATAATCTGTAAATTCATAATAATAACTAATTTTACCATAAAATTATATTTTAAATTTATAATAAACAATTTATATTTTTACGGTATTGTTTTTAATTACAAATATTTTATTTTAAGTATTTTTAAAAACTTATATATATTTAAATATATACTGTTAGTATAAATTTTTTTACACCAATAACTAATCAGATCTGTTAATAAATAATGTCTTTTTTATTTTAATTTAATTAAATAAGCAAATGACATGACATTATTAATAGATATGATTGGTTGTCAGTGTAAATTTTTTTTTAAGTGATTAACTTATTTAAATATACATTATATGGTAAATTTCGAAAAACAAAGAATAAAAAGGAGACACAAACACTGGACTGCAACCCCATACCTATATTTGGCGCCGCAGCTTGAGGGATGAGATCACTCAATACTCACACACTGGGATCCTTCTGTCATTAGACACAAAACCCTAACTGAAACGACATAGCATCTCTTCCTCCTCTTATTTTCCTGCAATGGGCAAGACAAGGTTAATGCCTTTCTTCTTCTTCTTCCCTTCCATTATCCAAAATTTGAACTCGATATTCTAATCATTGTTTCTCACCAGTGCAGGTCAGATTCAAAGTCCGACAGCAAATTCGAAAAGAAGGTTCAATTCTATTCCAGTAAGTTCGGGGATCAGTTTCTGTTGTCTCTAGATGCAAAATTATAATTTTCTCTTGTTGCTTTCTCTAATTTTTATTTTTAACACCATGCAATACAGTTAAATAATTTGATTGAGAAAATTAAATAAAATGCCAGCGCCGAGGTGCATGTTTCGTGTTTTTGTTAGGTATTCTATCTGTTTTTATTTGCGTGTAAAGATTGTGAAGTCTGGCTGCTTGGTGCATGTTACGTGTAAATCCTGTCCTAATTTTAACTCCTTCTAATTCCCTTTGTTATTGCAGAGGTGAAAGACGCTGTTACCTCTTTGAGTGCTCAAAAGTCCATTACTAAGGTCAGAATCTTATTTCAACACTATCATTGCTCCGATGGTGGATTGATTGAACTGTTGAAGGACTTCACTTGATTATAATTGGTTTATTTTAATGGCTTAATAATTCTATTATGCTGGGTGTTAAAAATAATTGTTTTAAACTGTTATCTAGTATTTTCAACTTCAGACAGGGCATTCTGTCATACTGAATATACATGCCTGCGCTCACAGTCATACATTGGTATTCATGTGATTTTGTTGCTGATAAATATTTGGAAGAGAATTAGTTTCGTTTTAAAAGGCATGTATATGTTTTGTACGAGTGATTGATGACATAAGATAATTTGAAAACCTGTTTAATATTGATTTAGAGGACACTCCGTGGAATCGAGTGTAACTGAAGTTTTAAAATATCGCAACATTTTATATTTATTTTTCCTGTTTAGAAGAGCTATTCTTGTTCCGATGTGATGTAGCAAAATTGTGAATTACCTTGAACTGAAGCTTTACCTTTTCATGTATTTAAAAGTTATCTTAAATATTTATGGGCAAATCTTTGTTGAGGATGTAGGGAAGATATTGCTGTGTTGTATGGACCAAACCAAGTTTCTTTTAAGAGATATATGCTCTGCAAGTTTTATGCGTGAGTGTTATTGATTTTCTGATGACGTTGTCTTCTGTCAGAAAAAGAGCAAACAACAAAGGCGGCAGAACAAAAAATTGAAGGCATATAACCTATCTTCACTTTTAGAGTCCCTTCCTGAGGTGAATGCATCACAAAAACCAGCTAATGAGGATAAATTCAAACTTAATTGTAAATCAAGGCAGAAGTTAGTGTAAGTGTTTCCTATCATTATTCAATATTGCATTGCCAACTTTTCATTTGATATGTAACATTGTATTTGTAACCAATTTTTCTTGTTCATCAGATTGAAGGAAAGTGATCGATTTTCTGCTGTTCTAAAAGATCCTAACTTTCAAGCAGACCCCTTTTCTGCCATTCATCAATACTTACAGAACAAACAACCAGTAGTAGAGGAACAACCCAAGAAAAAAGTTAAAAAAAATGGATCCAAGAAGAAGAAGAAATCAAAGGCTTTGATTGGATCACAATCTATGGAAATGTAGTGACCATGTGGCTGCTTTAATGATCTGCTTTTATCAAGATCCTATAATTCTATTACTTCTGTAAAAGATTAGATTACTCAAATTATGAATGCAAAATATCTTGAATTTCTTAAGTAGTCTCAATCATATTGGCTATGGTAGTTGGTCGCTACTTTGATGTCAGTATCTATTGAATAGGTGACAGACTTGCTGCTGACAATAGCAACTGAATGCAGGAACGCACGAAACTTCCGACATATATAATCAATTTTGATGAACACTGAAGGGTTCTTAAAAAGAAGAAAAAAATGGTTCAAGTTAGAATTATTTACTGCTTTAAATCCCTTTTTTTGCACTGCCTTCTGTTGTTGATTTGTAAAAGTGTTCATAAGAGTATTTCCCTTCCTAGTAGTATAAGAAAATGTCTCAGTTAAAATTAGGAATGCCATCAGTGAGTGTAAGTTAATTGTGTTTAGTTGTAGCATATATTTGTTAAAGGAATATGACCAGAATCATGTCATGCTTCCTGGTTGGAAATGTTGTTCAACAGCCAATCAATTTGAGACCTCGATAGAGTCCTTGGCAGGGCATGGCTGAAGTGCCCTGAATGTACCCAGACGGAACGGAAGAATTTCCTAGATAATTTATGCTTATGGAGTGGGGATAGGATATATGGCAATGAAGTGAAGCCAATCCTTACCATTTGTTTATCAGCAACCAAGTACACGAGGTAAATCTGGGTCATGAAATGGTTGTATTAGTACCATTTAGGATTTTAGAAGAATGGAATGGTTGTCTAACTCGAGGAATCAATATCCATATTAACATTAGTGTAAGAACCTCTTTGTCATTTGAGATATGGCCTTACCCATGGAACCAAATTGGAGTTGAAGAAATTTATAGACAAAACGAAGGCACAAAGGAAGAGTTCTCTTGTATTTTTAATGGAGATTGTATTCCCATTAGAACGAAGGAACCCACAGAATCATGTCTTTACCTTATAACAGCTGCAGTTTTAACAACTAATGAAGTTTAAATTACTCTTAATTGAGTATCCCACGAAATGACACTAATCCAAAGGAAAGAATAAAAGAAATACCTAAATGTGCTTTCAGTTATTCTAAAATCATATAAAGTAGCTCTGAAGAGCAAAACCCTCATTTTTTTTAGTTGAGACATCACACTGAAAGTATCAGTTGTGCCCCAAAACAAACACGCTTCTGCGTGCAGGACCATTGATTGGATATACTAATAATTAGTTTCATTCTCTTGTATATCGGCAAATTCTTCCGTGTCAATCTTAGTTGCGTAGTAATGCATTATGCTGACTGCAATTTATTCACGAGATAAAGTGAAAACCCTTTTCTTAATTCACAACTAATGTAATAAGCACAACATAACTCGCAAAAATAGTATTTAGCTTGGTATTGGATAAAGGCAAAGGGGAAAAGCTGAGGCCATATATGATTTAAGGCGTTGTTACTTTTGACTTTTCAGGCTTCAATGCCAATTCTTTTCATCAAAACAAATATTACAAAAAAGAATGAAATCTCCGAGCTTCAGAATTTACAGCAAATACTTGGAGCCTAAATACGTGATCAGTTCTTTGAGGCTGACTGGAAGATAAAAACTGCTGTCAAGACACCCACAAGTGCTGTTACTGCGAGGGCAACTGTAGGCAGTGGGCTCGTGAGTCCAAAGTTCTGCAAAATCAAATTACAGGAATACTGTCATTTTTTGTTTGCAACACATTCTGTTAACAATCTCTAGAATGGGTGAGAGGCGAGGTGGGGTTAGGACTAGTAGTAAGGAATATTGGAACTCCATAAAGCTTAGACTTGGATAAGGTTTCACCGTTTCAGTGAGTTGCGTTTGAAGCTCAAAACTTGAAATGATTCTACTTAGATGCATAGAAAGTTATGTGAACCCAATGATTATAAACTTAATAGATTAAAAGATTGTGAACAATAACTCAGATTAGGTTATTACCTATGATAATAACGATAAAAGTAAAACACTCGAGCTTGATTTTATAATGGATGTCATAAACACAATAAAGTAGAGAGAAAGATTAATGTATTACAGTTAGAATATCAAAGTAAACTTCTGACAGGAGATGATAAAAAAAAAAGGGAGGCAAAAGCCAATTAAGCATTTGGTGAAAATGATAAATTGTACCATGGCTGATGGCTCAAAAGTTGAAAATGATAATTCACTAGTTACTATATAATGCATAATGTATCATACCTCTAGGAGTCCTTTCCCAGTAGCAATTTCAACAGTGATGGCTACTGCAAAGCCAACCATGGCTGCCCGGCCTAGCCACACATCCAAACTGTTCCCTTCCTGGGTACTTTGCTCACATCTTATTGAAACAGGCATTGCTTTGCATGCAGCTTTCCTTCCATTATTTCTTCGAATCACTAGAGACAAGTCAAACAATATTTAACTTAGCTCTTATTTTATTTCAGCGTTACTTTGGTTCCACCATCCCCCAAACCCATAAAAGGAAGAAACATCCTAGACATATGGATAAGACTAAAAATCTCAACTATAGTGACTTTTAGGATTATTCCAAAAACTGACGAGAAGAATGTGGTGAAACCAAAAAGATAAATAAAAAAAGTGACAATTCGCAAAGAATGCTGCAATATTGCAAGTTTATAACAACAACAACAACAAAATCAGCAGCAATAGTTTCAGATAGCATTTGCGCATTAGCACTACCATCTTTTACAATCGCTCCAATTAGCTAGTTCACAGTCTTAACTGATACAGTTAATCTAAAATAGAAGGTTTTACTCGCAAAATTGAGTCCAGGAGTCAAAGAAGTACTAACAAAGGAAGCTGTAGCCTATAGTAATACTCCTGCTGCAAAATTTATGAACATGTTTTCCTTCAATTTGCAGCCCGCATAATATGAAATTCTAATAAGATAGTCTACTCTACAAAGATTTCCAGATCACGAGTTCTTTATTTCGAATCCAGACTAAATTTTTCTTTTGATTAGAATAACATGAGAAAAAAATCAGGAAGAACCTATGATAAGTTGCCGAAGCATTCAATTTTGGAGTGAAGGGGTGAATGGAATGCAGTGACGGTGGCATAATTGAATGCAAGTTTCACCTAATTAACTAAGCAAATAAAATAAGGAGTAACGACGGGAAGTAGAAGTCTTACACAGTGGGGAACCAGCGACGAAGGATGGTCGATGTGGAACCAAATTCGGATGAGGAAAGCGAGCGGTTGCAGGGTACTTTGGTGCAGTGAAAACAGAAGCATCTGCAACACAGTTCAGCTGAGTGTTAGAAATTGAAGTTGATACTGTTTCAGATTAAATGAAAGAATTAAGAGAGAGGTTACCACTTACCACGGAAAGAGATAGAAAGAGAAGCAGAGGGTTGAACAAGTGCCATGCTGAGTTGCAACTATCTCAATTCTCAACTGTGCGGTTCCTACGAATTTTGAAGAGTTTAATGTTTATCTCTTCATTTTGCTCCACCGCTGTCAGTGGCTCATACTTGTTCCACCGTAACCAATCATTCACACTCCTTAAGACCCACGTGGCCTCTTTAAATGCTCTTCTTTTTGTTAAATTAATTATTATTTTTTATTTTTAAGTTAATTAAATCTTTTAAAATTAACTAAATTTATTTTTTGCTGATTTATTTCTACCTAAAATTCTCAAATTCATGTTTTATAAATAAAATATTTACGAATTAAATTAATCAATTAATTTTAAATATTTTTCTATACAAACTCACCAACTATAATATCAAAATTCACCTAAAATTAGAAAAACTGAATTTTTAATCTTTCAAAATCCTAATTTCAATCACACCCGATAAAAAATTTTCAAAATTCGTTACATATTCACTACTTAAAAAATTTCAAATTATTTTTCATTCTGAAGTTGTTATAAAATCATAAATATTTAAATAAATAAAATGATAATTTGAACTAATAATAAAAAAAATTGATTCAGGAAGTTTAGAATATAATATATCATCTTCCACTGCCACATAGAAATGGCTAAAGGCATTCCGAATGAATGCGATAAAACCTAATTCTTGGTTTTACATAAAAGCAACCAACAGAAGAAACAAGAAGTCAGGATGGCCGAGTGGTCTAAGGCGCCAGACTCAAGTTCTGGTCCTCGAAAGAGGGCGTGGGTTCAAATCCCACTTCTGACAGTTCTTTTTTCCTTTTTATTTAATAAAGTTCATTCCTTCACTGATAAAAAAAAAAAAAATAATATTCGACTGAAATATCTCTTGATGGAAACTAGAAAAGAAATGTTTATTTGTACTCATGAAAGTGCATTGACCCATCCTGTTCTCAAATTTTGGCAAAGAAGTAGAAGAGTCCATTGTGTTGTTGCGCGAATGGCTTCGTTTTCAATTGGGACTCACTTGTCCACGTTCCACCATTTGCGTACCTCTAGACTTCCCCTTCACGGCCCTTGCGCAGTTGAATCCTCACCTTTCTTTGGCTCCTCTTCTTTCAGAGCTACCCCTCCCACGTTGCTCCGTCACAATGTATTGGCACGTGCTGAAGATAAGGCCAGAGTTCCTCCACCTTCTTCTTTTCAGCCTCAACAAAGTTCTCAGCAACAGTTTCAGGTTCTTCTTCTGTATGACCCATTAACCAAGTTCTAACAATACCCTTTAAATCACTCTTGTCTGCTAGTTTATAAATTTGGATGTTTGATGCTGGGGTGCGTAATCTGGGTTAAGGCTACCTCACTTATCCATCAAAGATTCAAAATTTACGGAATATTTGAAATGAAACTGTTTTTATTTGGAATTAAGTTAACTATACTTCACCACTTTAATATTTAGCGAAATGCCCAAAAAAATGGTGGTGGAATGAGCTCTAGTAAGAAACTAAGAATGTAAAATCAAAGGGTTAATTTTTGGCGATTCGGACAGTTAACACGTTCGTCATGGAAAAAGTGCTCATTAGTACTGTTACAAGGTAAGAGAAGCTGCTTCTTATATAATAATGCTTACACTGCTCTTCAATTTGAAAATGGTATCAGAACTTGACACCAGAATCTGGAAATTGTGATCCCCTATGTTCACTTGATGAAACAAGTTCAAAAGAGTTTGAAGACAGCTACCAGCCCAAGACTGATTTGCTCAAAGCTGTTGCAATATTAGCAGCATCTGCAACTGGGGCTGTGGCAATTAACCATTCTTGGGTGGCCGCTAATCAGGTTCGTCAATGTCCTGTAATCTGATTTCCGTGCTGCACATTTCACGATGAAGTACATGCATTTGGTAAAACGTCTCTAAATATGCATGTTCTAATAGTTATTTGTTTTATATGACATTGGACTGCAGGATCTTGCTATGGCATTGCTATTTGTATTAGGATATGCAGGTATCATATTTGAAGAATCTCTAGCCTTCAATAAAAGCGGAGTGGGTCTGCTGATGGCTGTAAGCTTATGGGTGATACGGAGTATTGGGGTAAATTTCTATCCTTTTTGTGCTTTGACTTTTGAGATTAGTCAGAATTTAATGTGTCCCATTGTCATGCTTTTGAGACTTAGGTTGCTGTTTGTTTGTTAATGTGTTGGACACAGCACCCAGTGAATGCACTTATAAGTTATACATCTAATCTGATATAATTTGTAAATTACAATCGAGTAGAGATGCTCAAGTATCTGGTACTGTATACCCATACATCACTTTTTTCTTTGCAAGAGATAAGGAGGCACCAACAAGGATTAGAATAAGGACAATTTCTGTGTATCTGGTACCATTAAGTTGAAGCACAATTTCAGGTGTGAACTTAAGGATCTATACTTTCAAGATTGGATTTGATTCAAATCTGTGATAGAACTTGTGGTCATTGGTACACCATTGAACTTAAATGGCTCTCTCCCCCCTCAAGAAAAAAACACTCAACAATATTTCTTAAGTTATGATAAGGTAAAGGGCAACTTATCCATACTCCTTAACTTTTTATATGCCAAAAAAGGGCCCCTTTGTGGTTATCCAAATGCTATTACCTGAACCAGACACAAGTCTCTGAAAAAATTGTAACACTTGATTGGATTTCTTGACCCAAGAAATGTAAGTTGATTTCATTCGAACTACAAAACAATTTACCTTGAAGATTGTGTGTTTTTTATTTGGGAATTAAATGTTTTTTTGACAATTGGTAGCTACAGATTAATAGAATATGATGCGGAAAAATGTCATATCTACCATTGCTACAATGGCAAATAGGTTGCTCCTGACCCTATAGTTACTATCTCCCTAGTGTCAGCTTCCTAGAATACAACCACTTAATAAATGATAATAGCTCGCCTGCTGATCTAGTGATCTGTTAGTTATGGATACTTAACAAATATTGGTTGGCCTCAATTGTATCCCCAGAATCTCTTCTCTCGTTGAACTTCAACAAGTCCATTCACTTCTCATATTATATGTCTATATATTGAAGTCAGTTTATATCCCTTTTTCTCTCTTTTGATTGGATTTTCCACTGCTATTTGCTTTTATTTTTTATGGATTGTCTATAGGCTCCATCAACTGAAATAGCTGTTTCAGAGCTTACACATGCATCTGCAGAAGTCAGTGAAATAGTGTTTTTCTTGCTTGGTGCAATGACCATTGTTGAGATTGTTGATGCTCATCAAGGATTTAAGCTGGTTACTGACAATATAACTACCCGAAACCCACGCCTTCTTCTCTGGGTGGTAAGTGCTTCCACTGCTTTGTCTCTGCATTGTCAACCCTACTAAAAAAACTTCTAGCAGAGTCATTGCTACTTGAGACTTCATGGAACTTTGACTACATTAGTTATTGAACATTACAGTTTATGGTCAAATTTGGATGATACGCACAGAAGAAGGGGCTCAGATTCAAGAGCTCCTTCTCTCAATGAGGTGCAGTACCAGTTAAGCTGTGCAATAACATAATTTCACTTTTTGATACTTATGAATGTCGGCATTTTAAAAGAATAAAAGACATAAACAAAAGAGTGGATGAGAAAATTGGTGCATATTTGCTGATGAATTGTTTTTGGAAAATAATATTTTTTAATAAATAAATAAATAAAATCTCTCAAGATGTTGAGAAAAAAAGAAGTAATTTTCTTTAAAAAGTAAACTGAACCAAGCATGTACCAAATCTCTCCCTCCCCTCCAATCCCAAATTCTAAATCTTCTGTAGTTTGCATCTCTAATTTTTTTCTTTCTCAATAACGGAAGTTGACAAATTAATGTTGAATTTTCAGATTGGATTTGTTACATTTTTTCTCAGTTCAGTTCTAGACAACCTGACATCCACCATAGTTATGGTTTCTCTGTTGCGGAAATTAGTACCTCCTTCAGAGTATCGAAAGTATGTATGTTATGTTGTTAACCCATTTGATGAAGTATTAAATATAACCATGTTTTCTGAAATACCACAATAATGATTGACTGGGGATGTTCATGCTCGCCAAAGCTGTCAGTCATTACCTGGAGCAAGCAATTATATACTGCATTATGCATGCTTGTCTTTTTATTCCCTTAAAAAAATATTAATGCTCATTTTAGAGATCTTGACAAATTCCTCCAGAAATGAATTTTAATCTTTTTACTTCATCAGTTCCTGCTAGTCTTTATGGTCCACAGATGATATGAAATGGTGTTAGCCATATCATTTAAGTTGCAATATGCATTAGTAATATTTTAGAAACTTTTTGTTGAAGGCATAAGCATTGAGAGGTGTGGGTGAATCTTCTAAGTTTGCAGTTTCTAGTAGTCTGCACTGTCAAATCCTCAGGCAATTGTTTTGGATTCTGTTAACAGGATTCTTGGAGCTGTTGTTGTAATAGCAGCAAATGCAGGGGGTGCATGGACCCCTATTGGTGATGTTACAACTACTATGCTGTGGATACATGGCCAAATATCTACAGTTGAAACGATGAAGGTTATCTGTTGGAACTTATTCCCGTTTGATAATTTTTGTATCATGGCCAAATATCTAAAGTTCAAATGATGAAGTTTATCTGTTGGAAAATTGTTTGAATCATGGGGAAATTTTTGTATTAAACTACACATAATAAATTACAGTGGTACAATGAACTTAGCACTAATGACATTCTGAAATATTCACTAGTTATAGTGATTAGAAATATATGATTTATAAATTAAGTTCTCCTTTGTCGAAGTCTTTCTGTTACTGATATTTGATTGCATGAAGAAGTAGAACCCTTGGATTTAACTCGGTGTAGTACAGAATGAACACATATCTATAATTGCATTTTCTTTATTTACAGGGTTTATTTGTACCTTCAGCTATATCTCTAGCTGTTCCCCTGGCTCTAATGTCCCTGACTAGGTACTTGTCTTACACTTCAAATGTCAGCCACAGATGCTGATTTGAATATAGAAATTTAGCTTAACATATTTCAATTTAGATGATATTAGTTTTTCTTCTTCTGTTCAGTGAAGTTAATGGGAAGGGACAAGATTCTCCCAATGTCTTGGCATCTGAACAGATAGCTCCTCGAGGACAGCTTGTTTTCTCGGTGGGTTTAGGAGCTTTGATTTTTGTGCCAGTGTTCAAGGCTCTCACAGGTTTGCCTCCGTACATGGGGATGTTGCTTGCACTTGGCGTGCTTTGGATCCTCACAGATGCTATCCATTACGGTGAATCTGAAAGGCAAAAGCTAAAGGTACCGCAGGCTCTCTCAAGGATAGACACTCAAGGAGTACTATTCTTCCTGGGAATTCTATTATCTGTTGGCAGGTAATAAGGAAATATATTTTAAATTTTCTGCAGCAGTATGCAATTATATCAATAAAAAATTGTCAAAGACGTGTCATTGTCCCTTTGAGTAGAAGGGAACTTGCTATCATGCTATGTCTTCATAGATTTGATACCCAAATAGAAAGATGATATATTGTCTGATTTACCTTTTCTTATTAAGATGGAAATGCCTATTCTCTTGCATGAATTGTAATTTCATGTTTTTGGCTGGCATATCTTTAAATTTTATAATTGTCCATGTTAACTGGTTGTATTTGAGCAATTTTAATCACCGTGTTTGGCAGCCTAGAGGCAGCAGGGATTCTTCGAGAAATAGCAAACTACCTTGATGCCCATGTCCCAAGTAGTGAACTGATTGCAAGTACTATTGGACTCATATCTGCAGTAATAGACAATGTTCCATTGGTTGCTGCAACAATGGGAATGTATGATGTCTCTTCTTTCCCTCAAGATTCTGAGTTCTGGCAATTGATTGCATTTTGTGCTGGTACTGGTGGATCAATGTTAATTATTGGTTCAGCCGCTGGAGTTGCGTTCATGGGGATGGAAAAGGTGGACTTCTTTTGGTACTTACGGAAGGTATTTCTCAATGTACACGCTAGACTTTTTGATATGATAAAATGTGTGTAGTTCATGACAGAAGTCATTTATCTCCTTTTTGCAGATTAGTGGCTTTGCATTTGCAGGTTATGCTGCTGGTATCGTTGCTTATTTAGCACTTCATAACCCCAATATTTCCCTACCAACACTAGCGGAGCTTCCTTTCCTTTCTGGTTCATAAATAAAAAATTCAGATTTCTTTTGATTCGATTTTCATGGCATCAAAAGCAGCATAGTTTCTAAATTATGTACACAAGTGAATTGGTGGTGTAAGGTTTTGGTAGCTAGAAGCTATATATAGGGAGCATATTAGGAAATACAAGAGCACAAGGGATGAGAACAGTTAATTTTGGTAGTCAAGAGCTAAACTCAAGATTTTATAAAGTCGAATATTAAAATGACTAATGCTTAGTTGCTTACGACCTTATGAATCATAGCAAGTGTTTACTCGGGCATAATTCACATAACTCATTTTATGTATTTAATATAAATATTGACCATTTTATCAAGGTTGAACTAGTTCATGAATCAAATGAAAATGAAGTAAATTATACTTGACTTGAATCTTGGTGGGAAGTTAGAGTAATAAGTATAAGATTTTAGGTTTGAATTTTGTTGTTTTTATTGTAATTTTTACTAATTAAAAAAAGTTCAACTTATTTGTAATTGTCTTAAATATGCTTTAGATCTTTCAAATTTAAGGTAAATTTATTTAGTCTTTTAAATTTAAAATTAATTCTTTTACTCCCTATAATTTTTAAAAAATTTATTTTAATTTTTATACTCAAATTTTATTAGAAAATTTGTTAAATGTTGTCACATAGAATCTATCTAGTGATATCTTTGTTAGTGAAAACATTATATTAAACCTATTTGATGGTATAATTGTCTTAATTTGTCATTTTTAAATATATTATTAGTGATCTGAGAATAAAACAAGATTTTTGAAAATTATAAGATTAATAACAATAGTTATAAATTGAAGGGAAAAAATTATCTTAAATTTGAGGGATTAAACATATTTAATCCTCTAATTTTTTTTATCTTAAGATGAACTCATTTAATTCATAAATTAATCCTAATTTGTTGGGGTTAACATCCTTTATTAAGATAGATAAAGTGTTTGGAGGATAGATGAGAGCAGCGGCCCAAAAACTAGTGCAGGCTGGACCAGTTTGGAGCCCGGTTCACAAATTCCATGCCATGCCAGTTACATGGACCAATAAAAGAGAGTTGTTGTGTATACGCTCGGTATAGTCAGATCAGAGACTCCTATTTTTTTTTATATTTATTTATTAGACACAAATTATTGATGCCTAATAATTCACTATAATATAAAATAAGAAGTTTGTCGTGTTGGAAGGTGATTAAAAAACGGCTGAATGGAGAAGGTTTGCTAACAGGTGTCTGTCAAGTCCTTCACTGCTCTCTCTCATGTGCGCGTGGCGGAAACCATTTTTTACGGAGTACATTCCATTCCATGAAACTTCCGCACTCAATCTGCTTCCAAAATTACATGCCACGGAAACTCATCCCATTTCAATTTTGAGTGTCTTTCAAGTGATTATGTTAGTTACTACAACATTTTTCATAAGGTTACACTATAAATAACAGAATTACATTTACAGTACAATGCAAGAAAGTTTTTAGAGGTTTAGTAAACATGGATTTTCAAGTTTTTAAAATATTATATGAATTTAATTAAAATGTACTTGTTCTCTATAATCACTAATCACATATTAATAATATTCATGCATTATCACATAATAATTAATTTATGTGATTTTAAAGAATAAATAATGGGTAGTAGGTAGTAACATATGATTTTTGGTGAGATGTTTGTTGGGCCCCATTGGAGACGTAACTGAAAAGTAAAAGATAACGAACAAAATAAAGAGAGAGCGAATTAGTTAATTTTTATCCTGACGCACGCAGGAGGCTAAATAATAAACAGTGACAAATTCACATGGAAGGACGCGTGGCGGATGGTGAGCCGTGGAAGGCCGCGAGCATTATATGAGAGCTGCGAATTGCCGCAGAGGATCAGAGGTGGTTGAGAGTTGAGAATAGCAAAAGGGGATGGGGATTGAGAGGTTGTTGGCCACACTGGCCATAACTCTCTCCATTCTCTCGGGAAATGGAAACACCGTTCACAGCTTCGACGGCGGTACCCACCAAAAACCTCAACACAGTTTGTGTGAGGAACTCATTCTTCCCTCCGGTTACCCCTGCTCCGAATATACGGTACCACCTCCTTTCATACTTCTTTCGCATCAATATCATTTGCAATTATTCTCACAATTCAATATCGGATTTCAGATTCAAACCAAGGACGGTTTCTTGCTAGGTCTTCAGCGTGTCTCTTCTTCTTCTTCTGCTCTTCGTCTCGGGCACGATGCAGAACGAGGCCCTCCGGTTCTGCTTCTGCATGGCTTATTCATGGTCGCTACCTCATCTTGCTTCTCAATGCAATAAATGCGTTACTACGATACAATTCCCTTTTCCTATCTCAACGCAATTGCTTTTCATTCAAATCGCACGTGCTTGTATTTGATTGTAGCCGTTTTCTAAACGTTGTTGTGACTACAGTCCACTGCTATAGACTATAGTGTTGAGGCTTTTTCTCTTTTATGCCAAACTCCAAACATTTGTGTCATGTTTTATGCGTTGACTTTTTTTAGGGGAAGGATTAGGAAGGAGAGTTCCTTACTCTTGTTGGTGTGGAATTTCATTTTAGGTTTTTCTGAACCGTTTGATTGAATCTCAGCAGTGATTTGTTAATGCGATCAGGCAGGTGATGCATGGTTTCTAAACACTCCGGACCAATCACTTGGCTTCGTACTTGCAGATCATGGTTTTGATGTTTGGGTAGGGAACGTGCGTGGAACACGCTGGAGCCATGGCCATGTATCTTTACCAGAGAAGAATAAGGTGGATAGCTTGCTTTATCATTCCTGTTATAATATTCGTGACACGTGTCACTAATTGAGCTTTGGTCCCTTTGTAGCAATTTTGGGATTGGAGTTGGCAGGAGTTAGCCCTGTATGATGTAGCAGAAATAATCAATTACATTAATTCAATAACAAACTCAAAGATATTCGTAGTTGGGCATTCACAGGTATTTATGATTCTTGATGTCGTGCTTTTCACTTGCTATTTGGTGATTGTTATAGCTTACAATTTTTGTGCTTTCCCATCCTTTTTAGGGGACAATTATATCTTTTGCTGCCTTCACTCAACCCGAGATAGTAAAAAAGGTTGCGGCTGCAGCTCTTCTATCTCCAATATCGTACTTGGATCATGTCAGTGCACCTCTTGTACTTAGAATGGTTAAGATGCACATTGATAAGGTATTTTATACTGCGTTCTATTCATTTTTACTGTAAACGCGGATCCTTGAGATGACAAGTGATTCCTGGTTTTGTTCAGATGATCCTTTCCATGGGCGTTCATCAACTAAATTTCAAAAGGTTTTTACATTTCAATTTTGATTATGTCCTGTTCTGTTTTTCTTTTGCTTATTTTCTACAATGTATTTTTAGTTCAGTAAATGTTCACTATGTGTTTTTCTTATTTCACTTTCAGCGAATGGGCGGCTAATCTCTTGGTTTCCTTATGTGATACCCGCCTAAGTTGCAATGACATGCTTTCATCAATAACAGGTTCATGTCTCTATCACTTGCTCAGTATGTGTCGGCCTTTTTGCAAGGATTTGATTGAGTTCACATGCTAGGCTGTAAATGTTCATGCTGAAATTAGCTCTTTGTTGAAACTGTGATCGTCTTCTCCAAATTTGAAAACTCTAGTCTATTGTGTTTGTGATAGTGCTAAACTCACCTATCCAAATAATATTTTCCATGTCATGGAGCTCTCTATTGCCATTATCTGCAGGAGGATTAAAGTGACAATAGGTTAATTTCTTTTTTCTCTGTTGGATGCGTTGTTGTAAGTTTGTACAGTTGTCCATTAGTAGGGCTGAGGCATCTCGCTTCTTTGGTTCATAAATATACGAGTGTGCATGACATGTGAAGACAATTCCTCTCTGTCTGCATGCTTGAAAGGCTTTCTCAATCTTTTTTTTCCCGTCTTTCACCATTTAAGTGTCAGTACTCGGTTAAGATAAGTTGAGTTGTTGCAGCAACCATGATACTTCCTGCTATGCAAGTGCCATGAACTCAAAATTTGTGTGTTTGCAAGTGAATTCAACTTGGTCCAAATAACAGATTGCAAATTTCTGGATTTCTAAACTTTGTCTGCCCACTCAATTTAAATTGATGGAACATTGAGTTGGATGTTATGTGAAATCTATATCTTCTAGAGTGTGTGGAAGGGGTGAACCCTCTCTGTTAGGACAGAAGGGAAGGGACAATTAGTTAGGGACAGTTTGTTAGAGGAGATCGGTCAGTTAAATAGTGAGAATGATGAGGATTGAAGGATTCGTTCTGAGAATTAGAAAGTTTGTATGAAAGGGAAATACTTCGTGGAAGGGATACCCTAGAAAGACAATTATTTCTCCTATTTGCATGCCGTTCAATGAAGTTGTTTAGTTTTGCTTTTGTTGAAAACAAGAAAAATGTGGCATTTATCATATATGTGAAGTAGAAATTCATGGTTTCATGGAACAGAATTCCTTTTATGCATCACAGCATCAGACCAGACCTTGATACTCCCGATCGTAAGTGCTTACGACAGAAAGAATAACAAAAAGTACGAGAAGAAAAAAAAAAAAAAAAAAAAAAAAAAAACT